TCAGAAAAGAAGGGTGAGAATGGTTACACAACTCAAAGAATGTAATCGATGTCACTAAATTGTACAAGTAGAAACTTGAATAAGTGTATGTTTTGCTGTGCATATTCTCAGCACCAACAAAATAAATTTTAAAAATGGTTAAAAAAAGAATGGAGAGCTGGAATTTTTCTTAGTAGGTTTAAAATTTCAATTATAAAGCAAACAGAATATGATTTCCTCCAGTAAGGCAGTAGAGAGCAATTATAAAGGAAATGAAGAACCCAATTTTTTTAAAATGTAAAATTGCTCTGTGGATCTCTTCAGGCTGTAAAGTAGACGTGTCTGACGTTGCCTCCATGTTGGGGATGGTACAGAAAGTCATCAACAGAGGCCAGGTGTGGATGGGTGATGCCAAAGAGCAGTGTACACTGTGGAATAGACAGGAAGAGTGATATAAAGGTAGATGCTCTAAGTTCAAATCCTGGCCAGGCCATTTATTAGCTGAGAGCTTAAGGGAGAATACAGCCTATCTCACAGGGCTGTTGCAAGAATTAAATGAATTAGTATATAAATGTGTCCAAATTGCAAAGGATATGAACAGACACTTCACCCAAGAAGACATTCAGGTGGCTACCAGATACATGAGGAAATGTTTACAATCATTAGCCATTAGAGAAATGCAAATCAAAACTACAGTGAGATACATCTCACCCCAACAAGGCTAGCATGAATCCAAAAAACACAAAATAATAAGTGTTGGAGAGGTAGTGAAGCGACTGGAACACTTATACATTGCTGGTGGGAAAGTAAAATGGTACAACCACTTTGGAAATTGATTTGGTGCTTCCTCAAAAAGCTAGAAATAGAAGTATATATGATCCAGCAATCCCACTCCTTGGAATATATTCTAGAGAAATAAGAGCCATCACACGAATAGATATATGCACACCCATGTTCACTGCAGTGCTGTTCACAGTAGCAAAAAGATGGAAACAACCTAGGTGCCCATCAGTGGATGAATGGATAAACAAATTATGGTATATTCACACAATTGAATGCTACGCAATGATAAAGAACAACAATGAATCCGCGAAACATCTCACAATATGGATGAATCTGGAGGGCATTATGCTGAGTGAAATAAGTTAGTTGCAAAAGGACAAATATTGTATGAGACCACTATTATAAGAGCTCAAGAAATGGTTTAAACACAGAAGAAAACATTCTTTGATGGTTATGAGGGTGGGAGGGAGGGAGAGGGGTATTT